GTCAAGCAATTCGAGCGGGTGTAGAAAACCGGAAAAGGAGTAATAGCTGTTGTGCAACTTTTCTGATGCTGGAAATCGTAATACGAATTGCTAATCTGAATCGCAGCGGCACTATAAACAGCAAACAAACGCATGGTGCTGATGATATTTCATTCGGCGGCCGGTGACTTTGGGGCGTCAGCGAACTATTTTCCAGTTTAGAAAAAGAAGCGAAAGAGGACGTTGGTCTAGTGGTTATCGAGGATAAGAAAAGGTACCTCCTGTGAACACAAGGAGAATACCAAAGGTATTCGCGATGTTCAATTGGCATAACTTCGCAAAGAAGGGTGGCACGGCGAACGATTGTAGAGTTAAATAAGATGAGAATCGGGAATGGTCTGAATAATCTTCTTGATTGAAAAAAAATCGATGAGTGGAAGAGTTAAACGTTGGACAAAACACAAATAAATAAAGTCAAATAATGGAATTGACAACTCTTATGAATCATTTAATTGCTCCTTAAAATTTCCACGCTACTTGTTTTTTTTACACCGTTCGACGCTTCTACCCACAACACTTCCGGTGAACCGAAATAAAAGACTACAAATGGCATTAAACAAATTAAGCTTGACGCCATCGGCCAAGAATTCAATACAATTTATTGCCACGCATTGAAAAGGCTAGGCAGTCAAATGCAAAACGGAAATATGTCGCCAGTGGGGAAACAAATAAGGTTTTTTCCCAAAAAAAAAAAATTCCGAAACAATTAAAACAAAATAAAAATAAATAGTGGGACCTGACTTTGAACGATTTGTATGCCGAACGGCTTCATTGATCAATGAAAGAATATTTCTACAACTGCTCCCCTGCTATCTATGTATCTATGTAGACAATCTACTTTTGTAGCCACGTAGATATTTATATACGGGCACGTCAACCGCACACTCAATGAATTCGCATTTTGGGTCAATGACAAAAAATTGCACTAGAATCGATTTAACAAATGGCGAAAATGTAGCAAAAACAATCAACAAAAAACCAAAAACTGTATCAGACATAAAGCGAACGCATTACGAAATTAGCGCCAAACAAATTGGTATCTATGCAAACACAATTGAAATTTTCTACTTGTTTTTCTTTTGATGGGGCCTCTAAAAAACAAAAACTCGCAAATATAGACTATGAGAATATTTATTTGTGTATATGCGAAAATCGAGCGCACAGTGAGTAACGCGCACGGCGGGAGACGCGCTGCCGTTGAGGTGCGTTCATGCGCAACGCTGGCGATCTCGATCGTTCACTGGCAAGCTGTTAAAGATGCCCATATATACTCGTATAGTAGGTTTTGGTGATCGCGTGCAAATTTCGCACACGCTGTGTGGCAGCGTTGATCAATACTACTAATGTACTAATATTTATTTGTTGCCTTCGATTAGGGATAGGCTGATATGCGCAATGGTTTTTGCCAATCGGCGCCGATCAAATGATCAGATGACAAAATTGATCATTTTCAATTTGAATAAATTCATTGTGTATTCGCGCGCGAAATGAACGATCGAACGTTCGATCGATCGATTGTGTCCACAGCACCGCAGCACCAAGACCACCAGCACCACCACCACCAATGTACTGTGCAGTGCCTTTATGGTGAGACACATTTTTGATCGTTTTTCGATCATGCATGTTGTTTTTATTATTGTTGTTCTCGGTGTTTTTTTTTATTTTTTTTGGTTATTGTCATGTTTTAGTGTTCGGTGTTTGGTGTTCGGTTCACTAGCTTGAATTGATTTATGCGCTAGTTGGGTGGTCGCGCTGGCGCAATCGGACGCGCCGCTGCTAAGTCGAGCGCGCGTGCGGGCGGCAGGGCGAGCGAACGGTCCGTCGTACAAACTGTGAATCGCAAACGGATAGACAACCCACGAATTGGGTATGTCGCGTCTTGTGTATATATTAGACCGCAGGCAGCAGAGGTATCGGAAGGCGCACGGTTTTGCTGTGACGCGCGGTATAAGGATTTTTGATGCTTTAATTTCATTATTATTATTTTTTTTTGTAATTTTATTACGCGCGCTGCATGTGAATTTGCCATTTTGGCCTTTTCATTTAATTGGCTACACATATGTAGATATGTTTGTTCAAATATATTTATATGTATGCATATTAGTGCGCGCGCGTATCGGCGCGTTGGCACGACATGGTTGCCACTATTTAGCATAGTTCATTTAAATTTTTATATTTTTATTGTGGAACCCTCCCGTCTGCGCACTCTAGCGCTTTGCGTATTTTTGTTGCACTCGGCATGCAATGCATATTTTTTATTTTAAAGTTAGCTTTTAGCAATGAATTTGGTGTTGAATGTTGAACATGTCAGCGCCAACAATTCATAATCGACGTTGAAGTGCAGCGCGCACACGCGCGCAGTGCGCATTGCGTCCTCCAACAAAGCGCGCGCGCACGCGTACGCCAATCTACGCTGCATATGATGTGCAAATTGAACACCCCAAAAGCATTGGAAATTTTTCTTTACTGTCCGCTACCATACGAAAATTTTCAAATTAGAAGAAAAGAAAAAAAATATTGCAGCCAGCAGTTCACCACACTTTTGATTTGATGTGGTCTGAGAGTCTGCAAGCCGCGCGCCTGTGCCGCCTAACCGCGTTTTATTTAGCCTTTTTGTTTGTTGCGTTGCACCGTTTATTAATCGGCTGGTCGGTTGGTTGCTTAAGCGCTCGCTGGTTGCATGAAGCGCTGGTTGCCTCAGCCGCCAAATTCAAAATTTGTTAAATTTTTGATTTCACATTCCCTTGGGGGTGAAATTTTTCGCCGTTGCATTTAGGCTCTCCTATTTTGTTTTAGTTTCCTCTCCTCGATTTTTTTATCACTTTTTGGTGGTTTCTTTTTTTTTTTTTTGGTTGTTGTAATAATAACTAAAATTAGCAAAATTGCTAAAGTTTGACTTGCATGATTTATCTGTAATTTTACATCACATAATGGTTATGGATGAACAGCCGACAGGAGAGCGCAGACGGACGCGCAGGCTTGCAAAAACGTTCATACAGACGCGCAGACAGTCGTGCGTTTAGTATCAAATGTACATACATACATGCATTCCCACATTAGCGTGGTCCAAAAATGCATGGGGAAAAAAGTTAAGTTCACAGCTCCCACTCCCTAAAATTGCTTGATATCGAAATAAAATATACCTCTGCTTTTTTTATTCAATCAAAAAATATTTAGTTTTCATTTAAAGCGCTCAAAGTTTCCCTGTGATTTTATATGGGAAAAGAACAATTTTTCGTAGTCCCTGAAAATAAAATTTTCAACAGTATTTGCCGATTGCCATTTCTCAAAAAAAAAAAATTGTATTTTAGATTTTTTCCCACCCTAATCTATGTACGATCTCTAAAATTCTTTTTTGATTTAAAGCAAATAAATACGGTACATTTTTTCGATATGGAAGAATCCTAGATGGAGAGAATTAAATCGCCAACTCTACTTTTTGGACCACCCTAATTTATGTACAGCTTCTAAATATTTTTGATTTCAAACAAAAAAGGAGTGTATATTTTTTCGGTATAGAACAAACCTAGGAGTGGGGGAGAGTATTAATTAGTTAATTAATTCCGACTTTAATTTTTTTTTTTACAACCCTAATGTATGTACCATCTCTAAAAATTTGTTTGATTGCAAACAGAAAAAATTGTGTATTTTTTCGATATATGTAGAACAAACCGAGGAGGGGGAGCATTAAATTTCCGGCTCAACTTTTTTTTTTTTATCACCCTAATCTATGTATGTACGAGCTCTAAATATTTTTTGATGTCAAATAGAAAACCAAGAGTGTAGAACATTACTAGGGGTGAGCAGTAAAATTCTGACTTACTTACTTTTTTTTGGATCACCCTAATCTATGAATACCCATACATACTAATAGTTTTATATTACCCCAATAACTTCGTTGTTGCACTATTTTTAATACAACGCTTTGAACGTTAAACGTCTAGGAAAATCGCAAAAAAAAACAAATGATGAAAACAAAAATCTTTCAAAAATAAACCAATTTTTTTTTTACACTTGCGGGTGTTGTTACCATAATTTCAACTGTCGACGAAAGTTAGTTGCTTCATGGCATTTTAACTTTTTCCCCATTTTTTCCACAACCAATACTGCCGCCACCACCCTGGCATATGCTTTTATTTAGACGCCACTTTACTCCACTCTACTCGGCTTTACGCTGCTCCTGTCTGCACCCCGGCGCCAATCAAACGCTTTTTCTTACCGGTCATAAAGCTAAGCCATGCAATTGTTGTTAGCTGCCGGTGTTTTTTACTGCTATTTCTAAGCATTTCGATACTCTCACTCTTCACCATTGACGTGCTGGCTTTTTTCTTTCGCCCCCTGCGTTGTCCTCTTCGTCGCTGCCGTCGACGACGTCGTAATATGTAATCTATTCAAATTTTTCGGCATATGATGTAAAAAAAATCTATCTACGCTCGGCTATGACATACTCCTCGTATATGTATGTATGTTTAAAAAAAAACATAAAACTTATTCGTTGTTACTCAATTTTGGCGCATTGAAAAGTTTATAATTTTTTCGCTTATTCGATTATGTCGGCAGTGTTTCCGTATTTTTTGGGGGCAAACGGAAAATGGTTGGTTTGTGTTGCATGCATTCTTGCCATTGGCGGTCAGGTTTAATGAATATCAACGAAAAATCAAGTGAAAATTGGCAGCTACAACATATGTTCAAATGTATAGCAATATGTATATATGTACCTGTTACATATATATGTACATATGTACGTATGTATGCAGTACATTAGGCACACAAACATTTGTAGAAATGCAGTAATTTAAAAAAAAAATTAATAATAAATATAATGTAGAATAAGGAAGTGGTCGTAAGTAGGAGGTTCAAAGAGGAAACAAAATTAAAGATTAGTTTTTTTTATACTAAAGCAGTAACTAATTTGTATTTTCATTCTCTAATCATATTTCCTGAATTTTTTCTTCTTTCAGAATGTTCTGTGGCGCAAAGGATGGCCACTTACCACTCCAACTGGCGAAGTTATCTTACACTTGGGTTCACTTGATAATGCCTTAGTGCGTCCAGGCGATCTATACTTGTGTGTTAAAAGTGGTAAGTGGCACAACTACATATTAGGATGGTCCTTAAGAACATCCACATTCAAAAACCCCTTGTTCTACGTGTGAAATAAAGATACCTTTGAAGAGTTCAAAAATTTAAACAAACTGTCAGAGGTCGTTGACTGGGTTTGAAAAAAAAAAAATTTATATAAAAAAATTACAGAAATTCTACAACGTTTTTTACTTGAAATCTCATAAATTTACATATTATTGAAACTTATTCACATAAATACATAAACTGGCTGGCTTATATGTAGATGGTCAAAGACAAACTGTTGTCCAATTTTTTGAGATTTAAAAAAATGGAATTGTTTTTATTTTTAATATCCGTGAATGTCTTTATTTGGTACGTGGAATTAAAGAAAGGGTCTTCACATGATGTTCTATAGGTTTGCATTCATTTTTTTGCAATGGCTTAAGTCTTACCCTAATCGGAAGCGTTGTGTTGTTACTGTGGATGATGCTCAATCAGAACCTTTTATTGCTACTTCAGGTTTTCCACAAGTTAGCATTCTAGGTTCATTGCTTTAATTTTGTTCATTAACGACATTGGCTCTTATTGCTCTTTCCCTAATTTTCTTTTGTACTCACATGATTTCAAAATTTATTTTCAGTTATTAAGAACGCCGCTGACTTAATGAAACTCCAATCGGAGCTGTATTATTTATATTGGTGGTGCTTGAGTTCACATCTTTTTTTGAATATTAAAAAGAGCTTTTAAATATGTCTCATTTTCGAAATCACGTAATTTATTAAAAACTCGATACAGCATCTCTAATTGTAATTTGCAGCCGATTATCGAAATTAATGATCTTGTTCTAATCTTTGATATTAAATTTTCATTTCTTCTTCTTCTTATTTGGTGCTGTAACCGCCTAAGCGATTTTGGCCGAGTTCAGCAAAGCACGCCAGTCGTTTCTTTTCTGTGCCAACTGACGCCAATTGGAAACGCTAAGTGAAGCCAAGTCCTTCTCCACTTGGTCTCTCAATTGCAGTGGGACCTTCCTCTTCCTCTGCTACCACCAGCGGGTTACGAGTTGAATACTTTCAGAGCTGGAGCGTCGGTGTCCATTCGAACGACATGACCAAGCCAGCGGAGCCGCTGTATTTTAATTCGCTGCACTATGTCCATGTCGTTGTAAAGCTCATACAGCTCATCGTTTTATCGTCTGCGAGTCTCGCCATCGCCAACGCGTAAAAGCCCGTAAATCTTCCGCAAAATCTTTCTCTCGAACACTCGACCAATGCGTTTAGCCTGAGCGTTGGCCATAGTTTCCTGGCAGTTCCACAGGTGATTTCGTCGTGCCATCTTCTGTTCGCTACATTAGTGAACCTCTCGGAGATAAGTAGCTTGTAAGGGTATTCCTATTTCATCGTGTATGTCCTCAATAGGGAGTTTGGTGCCACGTCGCGCCAGTTCATCGGCCTTGCAGTTCCCTTCAATGTCGCAGGGTCCCGGAACCCATATCACCTTTGGGCGAAATGACTCAGCCATCTCGTTAAGAGATGTGCGGCATTTCATGGCTACCATGCAGGTTGTCGACATCTTCGTAAGGGAGAGCCACCTGGCTGTCAGTGAAGATGTAGATATCAGCTTGGGATATCATATCACACTTAACCAGTTTTGTGGCTCAGTCGATTGCTATCAGTTTCGCCTGAAAGACGCTACAGTGGTCTGGAAGATGAAGCTATGGGAGATTTTCAGGTGTTCGGAGTATACACCCCCACCAACTCTCCCCTCGAGCTTTAACCCATCTGTGCATACATGGATGGACTCGCCTCTCTTTAGAGCGTCTCGTTTCCACTCTTCCCTTAAGGGTAGGATGGTCGTAAGCGCTGTAGTGGGATCAGAGTTCGGAAGGGTGTAGTCCACCGATCTGCGAAGCTCCGAAAACTCCGTTAATATTCTACCATGACCATAACTAGTGTTTGACCACTTATTTAGGCTATTCTTACTTAAGAAAGTTCAGTAGGGCATACAGTGCCTTGGATGGTGTTGTTCTCATTGCGCCAGTTATGAGTGTGGACGCGAGCCTTTGGACCTTATCCATCTTTTTAAAGTTTACCCCTTTCCCAAGGGTGTCCCATCATACCACTATGCCGTGATGGAGAATTGTCCTAACTACCGCTGTGTATAGCCAGTGTATTATTTTGGGCTCCATCCACAATCTTTTTCCTATTGACCTGCTGCAAGAATATAGTGCTACTGTTGCTTTGCGTACTCTATCTGCAATATTCGGCCCCAGTTTAGTTTCCTATCAAGTATGAGACTTAGATATTTGGTCCCTTCCCTTACTTCAAAGGTTTTTTCCCTTAGAGTTATAGCGTCGAGGTCGGGCGTGGTACATCTCGTACAGATTTACTATTTTATACTGCATATCTTTAGAGGCGTTCATGGTAGAGTACTGGGACTTGGTATTTGGATATATAAAATCAATTCCAAACTCATGGAAGAAAATTAAGGTTATAAGAAAAGGAGGCGTGACACTTCCCCTCACAAATTGACGTTTTTTTTTACCACATATCCCTGGAAGTGTTTGTGGAAGGATACTGAAACTTGGTATGTTGTAATGTATATAAAAGTTATCCATTGGCTATGGAAAAAATGTGAGGTATTCAAAAAGGAGGCATGTTGCCTACCATACATACTAAAACTTTCTTAATACATACCTCTGGAAGGATAGAAAATCTTTGGAAGTATTTTAAATTTGTTATGGAGATTTATTTTATCAGTGCCGTACTGACAGAAAAAATTTCAGTTAATGGAAAAGCACTAAGAAGTGGTATTTTATCAAAGCCAGGTTACTGAATTTGAGTTGGAAATATTAGAACCCACAGTGGCACCTGTCAGAAGATTACACGTTCACGCGGCGTATTCCTGGAACGATTTTAAGGCAAACTTAGAGGGATTGATATCTTTCGTATGCCTAGCGTGCAGACGATATTTTATAAGTTCGTAGTTTTAAACGGCCCAAATACCTTAACGAACTTAAAAAATATAGAGCTGTAACAAAATGGGCACAGAAATAAAATATAGCACCATCAAATAATTTTTCTTGTTTGTATAAAAACGTGGGGTGAAGCCCGCGGATATAAGCTAGTATATATACGCCTTCTTTTCAGTGGGCAACGGAGATAGTTTGCCTTCCTTTGTAGGCCCACTGTCTTTCTCACCGCTAGAATTGCTGCTAAAAACATTTTGTAGTATTCAGTTGTTTTAAAGAATCTCCTCATTCCAAGTGCCAGGCAATGAAACTCTGATCGAACACCATTTTCCATTTGGGTATCATTTGTCAAGTACAGGGTAGTGAGTCGTGGACATTCGTTGAGAGCGGACGTGTCGGTGCGAGTCGGTGAACAGCGCATCACAACGAGCGCATATCAGCATTCACATATTTACATTAAATTAAACTTTGTTCGTTTACTATTCATTTATATTAATTATATTAATAAATTTTTTGACATTCATTAAACTAAAAGCCTAAATCGAGTCATCCCTGACAGCATCAGAAGTGGATCGCGAACAAACTTCCACGAAAACGAACGTGCAGCCGCAAATTTCAGTTGCGAAAATTTTAAAATCCAACGAATCGATAGTGAACTCAGTCCGCAGCAACCAAACGCAAATACAAAGTTTTGTCGCGCCGTAGCAGAGCTCAGTTGCGCGAGTTAATAAGAATACGCAGTCGCAACGACACCAGTAATCGTGATTTTACATGAATTCAACGAATTCTAGTTATCTGAGAATTTGCCAACGAAAACCACCACCAAATTTTATTTGCTATTCTGCTACGTTGTTGCACAGACATTGCAACAGCTAAGAGCAGCCGAAAACACAAGAGAGGGATAGGAGCGACAGATGCTCACAGCAGTCATCCCTGCGAGAATAAGTTTTAAAGCTTTGTGCTGTGATTTAATTGTATCGCAGCGCAACCGTCAGCTTTCCGGATAAGTTTTTTTCTGCTATGTTGCACCGTCATTGCAGCATCTGAGGGCAGCCGTAAACATATGCAAGCTTTGTGTTGTGATTTAGTCATATCGCAGCACAACCGACAGCTTCCGTACATTTTTCCTACAAGGTAACGGGGAAAAACCGATGGTGAAATTGAGCGACGCAAAGGCGTCAGTTGAAATCTAGCTAAGGAAAAAAAAAGAGGTTTTAGCAAGCGACGAGTGAGGACGGTTTTTTGATTTTACTCCGTATAATTTAACGCAAGAAGCTGCAATGGAGCAGGATAAAGGCGCAGTAATTTCTAGTAAAATTAAATTTTCGACACTCAAGGTGGAGCAGCTCAACCGGCTGTTACAACAGCAAGGGCTATCAGTCTCGGGCAATAAGACGCATAAAATTGCCAGGCTGATGGAGGTCTACGAGGCAGATGAAGTGGACCAGGAAGAGATGGAAGAATTTCAGGCAACTGATGCAGGCTGGCAACAGCAATTCAAGGAATTACGCGATGTAGTAGCTAATATGGCTCAGACGGTAAGTCAGTTAGCAGCTGTGCAAGTGGTACAAGTGCAGCAAGCACCATACAAGGTAGTACCAGCAAACTCCGGCGCAACATTTAGCGGAGCACCAGCAAACTCCGGCGCAACATTTAGCGGAGCACCGGCAAACTCCGGCGCAACATTTAGCGGAGCGCCAGCAAACTCCGGCGCAACATGTGTCGCAGCACCAGCAAACTCCGGCGCAACATGTAGCGGAGCACTAGTGAACTTCAGTACAACATGTAGCGGAATGCCAACCAATTTTGGCGCAACATTTAACGAATCTTCGTACAACACAACATGCAACATACTGCCAGCCTCATACAATACACATCAGGCAACTTTTATAGCAGCAGCAGCAACATGTAATATAGTTCCGTCAACATATAGCGTAGTTACAGAAACACAGCAACCATCGAACGCAGAGTGGAGAGGAGCTACTATGGGCTCATCGACTCCTGTCAACGGGCGATTGAGTCACGGGGTAGTAGGAGCAATACCAACAATTTCATCAAATGTAGCAACGAGGCATACCATGAGGGAAATCATCGGTATTTAGCCGGAATTCAATCCACTAAAGGGAAATTTAACAGCAGAGCAGTTTATCAACAAAATTGAACAATTGCGATTAATTTATTTGTGGAGCGAGGACGAGATTCTATTCGCTTCACAACATAAGCTAAAGGGTGTAGCGGCTGACTGGGCGGATGCTCAACCCCCGTTCAGTTCTTGGCCACTATTTGTTGGGGCATTGAAGGCCGACTTTCCGAGCGAAGTTAATGTGGCTGAGGTACACCGTGAGATGGACAGGCGCAAGAGGAAGCATAACGAGTCAATGAAAGACTATTACTACAATATGCTCAACATGGGTCGCAGAGCAAATATGGACCAAGCATCAATCAATTCGTACATCATTGGAGGACTCAACGATGCGAATTTGTCACGAACTTTATTAGCCATCAATTTGAAGACATGCAACGATTTGTTGAAAGCTATCGAAGGTTTATCAGCAACCTCAGTCGGGGTTAAGCCAACGTTCAACGCACAACAGCAACAACAACAGAGACAGTCGGAAGCAGGTGAGGCCCAAGTGCGAAAGGCCGTACGCTGTTTCAACTGCAACGAGGTGGGGCATATAGCAGCGAAGTGCCCCCAACCATCACGAAGACCTAGATGTAGTAAGTGTAATAAAATGGGGCATGAGGCAAAGGCATGCAACGTAAGTAAGAGTACCGTGGCAAGTTTAGCTGAGCCGTATACAATACCACCATCGTTTATGAAGACAGTTGAGGTTTGGGGAAAGGTGATGTCAGCCTTCGTAAATACCGGTAGCGACTATTCGCTGGTGGCAACAAACGTTATTCCGAGTGACGTGCAGCGTGAACACGAGGTTCATAGACTTACGGGCTTCGGAGGTGGAGTGGTCGAGACCAGAGAAAAGGTAAGGGCCAAGGCAGCGGTAGATGGTCGTAGAGTTGAGGTGTCGTTGTTGGTGGCACCCGAATGTTTCATGCCATACCAAATACTTTTGGGTCGCGACATGTTGGGTGACGCAAGGGTTGTCATCGACTCAGGTGTAATGAAGATTGAAGCGGCCGATAGCCACTCTTCAGTCAACAGATTGTGTAAAGACGTCGATCATGAAGGAGTGCAACATTTGTTGGTCAAGTTTAGCGATTGTTTTTCCGAAGACCTAAGGAGTCTAGGCCGATGCAACACGACTGAAATGGATATTAAGGTTACCACAGAAGAGCCAATAGTGGGTAAGAGATATCAGGTACCGTTGGCACAAAGGCCGGTACTGTCGTCGATAATTAAGGAACTGTTAGTGCACGATATCATCCAACCGAGCTCATCACCGCATGCGGCTCCAGTGGTTTTGGTGAAGAAGGCGAATGGTGAAGATCGAATGTGCGTCGATTTTAGGGCCTTAAACGCAGTCACCGTTAAGAAGCAGTTCCCTATGCCGATTGTGGAGGAACAGCTGGCACGATTAGGGGGCAACAAGTGGTTTACAACGTTGGATATGACATCCGGGTACTATCAGATACCAGTGAAAGAAGACAGTCGACCGTATACAGCATTTTTAACTCCGGATGGTCTCTTCGAACATAAGGTCATGCCGTTTGGGTTAGTTAACGCACCCATGGTGTTCCAGGAAATGGTGGTTAATCCGAGGGTTAAGACACCACGAGAAGATCATTAATTACGTAGACGAGGTGATTATAGCAACGCCGACCGATTGTGAAGGCACAGAGGTTCTGGAAGAGTTCTTGGTAGCAGTGAGGAAAGCGGGTCTAACATTACGACCATCGAAGTGCACATTCATGGCGGCACAGGTTAATTTCCTAGGTCACATCGTAAGCGGCGAAGGCATACGACCAGGACTAGACAAGGTTCGATGTGTGGAGGAGTTCCCAACTCCAACTACAGCGACGCAGGTGCGACAATTTCTTGGATTAACAGGATTTTTCCGAAGATTCGTGCCAGGCTATCGTAGGGTATCGAAACCGTTGACCAATTTACTCAAGAAGGACGAATCATTCGTATGGAATGAAGAGCAGCAACAGGCGTTTGACGAATTAAAGAAGGCGCTGACAGGAGATCCAGTGCTAGTGATGTTTGATACGGAGAAGACGCATGAGGTGCATACTGATGCAAGCAGCCATGGTTTATCAGGAGTCCTACTGCAACAGGAGGAGGCAGGGCTGAAGCCAGTGCAATATTTCAGCCGTCAATGCAGTGCAGCCGAATCCAAGTACGCGAGTCATGAGCTGGAGGTCTTAGCGATTGCTGAAACGTTAGAGCGGTTCAGAGTCTATCTGCTGGGCAGACCGTTTCTGGTGGTGACCGATTGCAACGCGGTTGCCTCAACCAAAGTGACGACACTTCTACAGCCACGTATAGCCAGATGGTGGCTTAAGCTCCAGGAATTCGACTTCAAGTGTGTACATCGAGCGGGAGCTCAAATGTCCCATGTGGATGGGCTGAGCAGGGCGCCAGTCGAACCAGCAAATGAGATGACCACCGTTGCAGAGAGTGTTATGAGAATTAAACGAGCTGATGAAAACACTGACTGGATATATGCCATGCAGATCCAAGACGAAAAGGTGAGCAAGATAGCTGAGGTACTGGAAAGTGGTCTTCCACCGGAGGGCGATGATGAGAAGCAGATCCAGGTAGATTACCAACTAGAAGATGGGCGCATATACCGGAAGGTCAAAACCAAATTGAAGCTGATGATTCCACAGGCGCTGAGGTGGCGCATTACCAAAGCGTGCCATGATGACGTTGGGCATTTTGCAGTCGAGAAGACAGTTGAGCGAATCGGGAAACACTTCTGGTTTCCGCGGGTTCGAAGGTATGTAAAAACTTATATTAATTCGTGCGAAGACCATTTGGGTCCGTTCCCCAAGAGCCGACGAGGCAATGCGCATATATTGGTAATTGTCTGCAGTTTTAGCAAGTACATTGTGCTGAAAGCAACCCGTAATACCAAATCCGAACCAGTGGTAAAGGCGTTAGAAGACACGATGGCGATTTTTGGGCAACCTTTGCGTATCATCTCTGACCGAGGAACGGCGTTTACGTCGAAGCAATTCCAAGACTTTGTCAGCAAGTACGGGATTCAACATGTGAAGACGGCCGTGAGAACCCCTCGTGCTAATGGCCATGCAGAGCGGGTCAACAAGACCATACTTAACGCAATAAAGTGCAGCTCGAAGACTGAAAAGGATTGGGACCTGACCTTGCCGACAATCCAATGGTCAGTCAACTCCCAATGCCACAGCGTAACGAAGTTCTGTCCAAATGAACTTATTTTTAACTACAATCCACGAGAGGTTTCCAAGAACCGAATTGTTCAAGCGATACACGATAGCATCGAGCCAATTGAAATCAACGTAGATGAGAAGAGGCAAGCGGCAGCGGTAAATATAAGCGAGGAGCGGAAGCGCTGGAAGAAGCGTTACGACGAGAAGCATTCTAAGCCGCGCTACTACGAAGTGGGCGATTTGGTATTCGCAGACTACGTGCCCACAGCAACGGGTGAGTCGCACAAGCTGGATCCAGCATTCAAGGGCCCGTATGTCATAACAAGGGTCTTGAACTACGATCGCTATGTGGTGGAGGACTTGTCAGACAATACGGTAACACAGCGAAGATATTGCAACGTAGTAAGCAGCGATCATATGAAGCCATGGCGTGCTCTTGGTCCAGAACTCGACATGAGCGATGAAGACAGCCGTGTGTCGTCCGAGACGGACGAAATGTCAGGGGAGGCCGAGCTGTCAAGTACAGGGTAGTGAGTCGTGGACATTCGTTGAGAGCGGACGTGTCGGTGCGAGTCGGTGAACAGCGCATCACAACGAGCGCATATCAGCATTCACATATTTACATTAAATTAAACTTTGTTCGTTTACTATTCATTTATATTAATTATATTAATAAACTTTTTGACATTCATTAAACTAAAAGCCTAAATCGAGTCATCCCTGACACATTTTTATATCTGTTTTTCCGTATGGAATATGGACTAGTCTGCTCATAGCTTATATTTATGTATGTTTGTACATCTTGTAAATAATATTGCGTAACCTAAATCAATTCTCATATAATTTTTCTTCTTCTTCCCTCACCTCCAGCTAATAAAACGGAAACACCACAACTGTTTGCAGTTTGGCGTAGTGCCCCAAGCGACATAGTACAACTACAACAAAAACAGCAACCGCTACATGCAAGTGCAACAGGAACTTTAACTGCCACGGAAGCTGCAGACGCATCAAAAATACACAGTTATTGCATTGACTTTGGCGCAACACCAGCGCCAACAGCAACAACCCCACCAACACATCTGAGCGCATTAACACTCGAAATGTTGACGAGTGACGAATTACCGCAATTGCTGCAACATTTGCTTGTGGGCGTTGAGCATAGCATCGAGCGGGTCTCGTTGAATGAGCTGCAAATGACCGCCACGGCGACGACGACGACGACGACGGCAACAACAGCAATGCCGCTGGCGACTGATGTGGCCAACAACAATAATAATGGCAACAAAATCAATATCAACAGCACGTTAGTGCGCTGCAGCAACAGCAACAACAGCAACAACAACAACAACAACACGATTACAAACTCACCAAAATGCGCACTACGACGCAGCGAATTGATTACCAAAAACAAAGTGCTTAACAATAAATTCATGTTGCGACGCCTAACAAATCGCCAGGATAGCATGAATTCCACATCGTCCGGACAGAGTTGTGGCAGTAGCGGAAGCACCTCCAGCGATGAGCTATTGCGTTGCAACACCAACAGCAGCAGCACCATCACCACCACCAACCATAACAGCAATCACCAAAGCGCGGGCGGTTCGGGCAATGGGATGTTGGTGAGTGGCAATAATGGCTGCTCCTCGTTGGAACCATTGAAAATGTCTGCGGGCTCAACAAATTCGGCAAGCACTTCACCAGCATTGCCGCTCTTCTGTTTGGGTAATTCATTTCCGCACATCGATAGCGATGAGGAGAATGCGGATGAGAAGCGCAGCGCGAACGGAGAGGGTGAGTAGTAACTGCATATGCGTAAAAAACGAAGCAGATTTACTTAGAGTTATTTAAGAAATACAATATGAGATGCAAGGTTTCTTACCAAGTAGTAGCCTATTACACCGTGTGACAGTCAATTATATGGCGTAAGGATTTTTTAAAGGACTTTGAAATTTAGAAAATATGCTTAATTAAAAAAATTATTTAAAAAATGCAGTGCTATGTAGAAAAGCAGTATGAGTGTCAAATTAAAGAGAAAAACTTGTAAGATTTTATACTTGAACATCCTTGAGATTTTGCAATATTTATTTTGGAACAACGCTCTTTATAAATTTCATTTGTTTCGCATATAGATTCCAAAATCTCGATGAACTTATAATTTAAAGTTGAATTTAACTTTTTAAGCAGGTGGCATCCCTCTTCAGAAAACATAATATATTTTAAGCTATCTATATGCCAAAATTTCATACAAGCGGATACCAACAAACACACACACACATCACTCGCAAGCTTTTGCATTTATAATATTCATAAGTAGCATTTTATTTGACTTTGTTAATGAAATTCCTCTGTCGGACGCAACCCCCGTCAAAAGCAATTTCTAAAAAAATATAGATTTCGTAAAACCTCTTTTATTTGATAACCTTTTAAAAATTCTGTCTTGAGTTTGTCAATTAAATTGATTTCGAAATATTAAACAGGTGGCAGCTCCCTTTAAAAATAATATTGAAATAAAGCTTTCTTAAATCTCTCTCGTTTGATACCCATATTAAAATATATAGTTTAAGTTGTAAATCTTAATAAATTTTTAACTCCAAATTAGGTGGCAACCTTCTAAAATATATTTCCGAAATGGAGCTCTCTTGAAACCCTCTCGTTTTATGCCAGAAGAAATATTTAGTTTAACTTGTCAATTAAATTGATTTTGGTGTTCCATACAGGTGGCAGCCCTCTCAGAAACTAACTACGAAATCTAGCATTTTTAAACTTCACTCGTTTGACACTTATTTCAAAATATGTCTTTGCACTTGTTAATTAAACTGATTTTGAATTTATAAACAGGTGGCAATCTTCTTCAAAGACATTTGGAAAATAAAGCTTACTCTAATCGCTTTCGGTTGACGTCCATATAATAATATTTCGTTAAACTTGTTAAATTAATTGATTTTAAATTTCCAACTGAACTCTCTTCAAAAATTATTTCGAAATAAGGTTTCTTTAAATGTCTCTCTGATTTCATTTCCATATAAGATATTTCATTTAAATTGTTAATGATAATGACACTGAACTTTAAAACAGATGGCAACCCTCTTAAAAACCATTTTCGAAATAAAGCTTTCTTAATACTGGCTCATTTGATATCCTATAAACTTATTTCATTTGGCTGGGTTGTGTTTTACTTTTGAACAGGTGGCAACGCCCTTCGAAATTATTTCAAAGTAGATCGGGGCAGGTCACCACATATCATTCACGGTATATACACGACAGTCCTCCGACCGACTCTAACCTATGAAGCTCTGATCTGGTGGAAAGCAAGCCGCTAGCCGGCGGCACCTGGTGACAAAAACAAAGAAACCTTGGTAGCAACATACAAGGCAATTGGACGGCCGGTTCTAAACTACCACACGGTCGCAGCGGACAAAGCTATAGACCTACCAAATTACGGCACTTCGGACAGCCACTGGATGCCTTCTGATGTCGCCACAACACCCTCTATACGATGAGGCCCAGATGCTCCCCGTCAATGAAAAGAACATTCTCTGTAAGCAGTTCCTAGTAGGATGCTACAGACGCGTTCACCCGAATAGACACGTGCTTGCAGCAGAGCTCTCGCCAAGGCACGTCAGGAGGCATCTATACAAACTGCACCCGAAAGCATACCGATAATCCATAAACGCCGGAAGCCGGTCTCAACTTACACCGATTCTATACCTGTGAATGCCGTTTTGGGAACCAAACCACCTAACATGGACAAGACAGCGCTTTTTTTTTGCCTCGGGACGCTCGCACCGCAATATCCCAACTTCACTCTGGCTACTGTAGCAGGCTAAACTCGTACCTGAACAGATTAGATACAGATGTGATCAAAAAGTTCGCGGCATGCGGAGAGACAGCTCACGACACTAGACGTCTCTAGACGTCTCTTCGCATGCCCCTTAAACCCCACTAAGCTTATACCTCTGTCCTTATGAACAAACCCTGTTAGAAGAGTTTGACGACAACGAATGAGGGGCAAGCCAATCTAGGCAGGGCTGAGTAGCCGCTAGAAAAACAACAATAACAAGGGCTGAACATGATATTTTACTTGAAGTCACCACAAGTATTCGTAACAGGCGTAGCCGCAAAAGGGGTCCTTACGCTAAGGGTATCAAAATTGTGGAAGCTGACCAATTACGGGACCGCAGGGGTCTTAAAGGTAATTAAAAGCGGACGAAGTAACAGAATCAAGGTTGACTTTAATGCTGTAATGTGCTCAGATATTTCCCAACTAGGAATGATTGGGTGCGACCTACTGCCGGTGTGTGATGGTATTTGCCACCGATACACCGATGGCTCAAAGATGAAAAAAGAAGTTTTTTCTCAGCTCTGTACTCCAAGGTCTTTCATATAAAGCCAACATATCGCCTGGCGGAGATCTTAGCCATACAGAAGACGGCTTGTCTCATACTGGATAGTAAGTTTCTAAAAACTAACGTCACTCTGTTCGTGTACAGGCAGGCGGCTTTAAAAAAATTGTGTTCCAAGGTAGTAAAAGCGAAAGTGGTTCGAAAATGATGTGCATTTCTGGCATCGCTAAGCCAAGTCAAAGCCTTTCTCTGCTGGTTTCCTGGACAAAGCAATATCGAAGGAAATAAAATTGCTAATGAGATGGCTACACACGGCTGGGAAATGCAGGTTAGCGAAGCGATTTCTTTTCTACGAAGGGGTATTGAAGAATACACCACTGGCGAAACTAATGACCTATGGATCAATCGGGACGACTGTGAGAACTCAAGAACCTTATGTTAGCCAGACCCCAAAAATATTTGCACTGAAGAATTATTGACGCTGAGAAAATCTGCGTTAAGGGCTCTTGTTGGTATCAGAATAGGACACTGGGTATACTGACATTGAATTGAATAAATTGGTTAGAAGGATGTGCCTCCTCCTCCTCCTCCTGGCACTCATAGAGAACATTGACGTAGGCGCCTTCCTAACCTAACCTAACATATTTATAAAAAAAATGTTAACTAACAAATAGTCATTTCACTCAATTTCTGCGGCTAAATGTATGAAAAAAATGTCTGAAAAATCAAAAAAGCAAAGTACTCTTATATCCAGCAAAGACTAAAAGTTTAAACATATTTACTGTTATTTAATATTTCCTGACCTTACTGCATTTTTTTGTTTTTTTTAATTTTAAAACAAACCAAAAAAGTGACACTTCAACAAAACTTTTCAACTTTTCCACTTTTCCTTTCATTTCCATTGCCAAATGGCAAATAACTACGAGTACGTATGCAAAACGAATCATTGAAAAATTACCAAAGCAATCAATCAATCATGCTTTGTTTTATGGCTAACAAATAAATGCTTCACCTTGCTCTTGTCGCCGAGATGCAATGGCAATGGATAAAGCGGCTGGCGTGCTGTTGCTGCTGCTCGCTCACCTGTTGAGCGCGCAAACAAAGGCAATGAGTGCAACGCCTTCTATGCAGAGATGCATAGCAAATGAAAAGGAAGGGCGTCTACTGCCGACAGCATTAAGACAGGTACGCAGGCTATAGCAAAGTCTGCAGAAAGAAAAAAAAATCGCATTATAGACAGCAGAGTTGAATATAGCTATATGAATGTTTGGTTACTTAGGTAGATGAACCAGCCGGCTTGCAGAAAAAAAAGCTGTTAAAGGAAACCCCCAAAAAAAAAATAGAAACATTTAAAATATAATTTTAAAAGCGCAAGCGAATGTTTTTTTTTTTGCTTTTCCATTTCGCAATTTAAGCTTTTTATTGCCATTGCAAGAGATTTGTTGTCCGCACGAAATTTAAAACAATCGCAAATACTACTTACTAGGTACATACTACACCCTTAACTCCTTGACACTCCACAATTTGCCTGCGCGCCATAATTTATGTCTACCCATTTGCTTGTTTTCTTTTTTAGTGGCTTTTAAATGCCAGCGCACAAACATATATGTATGTATGTATATTTATTGTACTACAAAAATGTTTGCAATTGAATTTATGTTTTAACAAAGCATAATTTATTAAAAGCTCCACTCAAAAGTCACTCATACGCCAGCGCGTACCTACATTTTTATGCTACAAGCGTACGTTGGTGGAGAGGGCATCACTGCGCTTGGTGATTACGTCGTACGACATTCAAATTATATAATGTGCAGCGACAACGACATTTTGAAACGTACTTATGTAAGGCTTGTGACTCGGATAAAAATGGGGAAAATGGCCCCAAAAAAAAAATCCGCTGCAAGTAAAGAAAACTCCATCTTCCGCTGTTAGTTCGTTTGTTTGTGTGATTGCTGCCTGCAAAAGAGACATTCACCGCCACAAATATTAGTGAAATTAAACGACGACAAATGAATAAATTGCTACAGCAATGACAAGCAACAACGCAAAGAAACATTGAAAATAAAGCAAGCTGGCATTGTAGTGCCCAAAAGCAACAGCAGCACCAACAACATCAAAAAGTCAGTGCCAGCAAGCACATCAACAAAAAGTGGCAATAATAAAAATGTCAAAAATTTTTACCAGAGAGTAACAAGAGCAAACAAATGTTGTACATACTTAGAAAAGCGGAAATGAAGTCAATTGGTTATTGAACGATTTGTGGGATTGTTTGCATTAGTGTGGCGCCTATTCTTCAGAGGGGAATATTTTCGATTTCTAACGAATATAATTAAAATATAAAAAAAATGGTTATAGGAGTCAAGGGAGAAATGGTCAAAGAACTTTAAACAAATTTCTAAATACTTTTCTGAAAAAAAATTTCAAAAAAAATTATAGTTGGTAATTTAT